CAAGTTTTTTACCCCAAGATGGTACTCAGAATAGAATCCTATACGGCTTCTGATTGGATGATACAGGATTGGAATTACATTTAATCGAAAGCTTATCTAATTAGGTTTAAAAATTGCAGAAAATCATATTCACATTTTACGAAGTATAGAAAATATCCTCCATTTCTGCACGTCGGAGCCATTAAAAATATGCCTTTTTCATTAAGCGAAAAAAATAGATGATCTTTTTCAACTGCATTTTAAGTCAATTTCTGCCGCATGACCCTATATATTTTTTTGCTTGTAATGCAACACTGGCATTTCTAGTAACAGGAACTGCAATCCGTTTTTCCCTAGTTTGTGTAGTCTTCGAGAAAAAAAATACGGAACACCAGTGGTACCCTATGGAAAATGCATTACGAATAATTGCGCTCTTGTAACCTTTAGGTCACAGAAATTCCAAAAAATGGCATCCATTTTTCTACAATTTCTAATAAAATATTATAAAACCTACAGTTCAATAGGTCACATGCCCCAAATAAACATTCCCCGATTGGTCGAACAACTGTGGCCTCGGTGTAAAGCAACGCAAGCCTCGATGTAAAGATCACGCTTCCAAAAATAGAGGTATGTCCCAACTTAACATTCCCCGATTGGTTGAATGGCTGCTCGATGTAAAGCAACGAAAGCCTTGATGCAATGAAGAAAAGGGGTTGACAGGATAAACGTAATCATTATAAATTTTAACTTCATGGTTCTTATGAAAGCAAATTTAATAAACAATGATTTTATACAGTTGTGTTATTGTTTTCACTTTACATAGGGCTTTATTTCTGATCTTATTTCTGTGTACACAATTCTGAATCTACATATTTCACCTATAACAATATTAGGTAATCCGTTTGGACGATTCCATATACTATTATGTTTTAGGGTTTTTTAGCTTCAGTGTCGAGTTGGTGTATAGTATTGAGGGCTATCTGCGAGAAATAAATCTTTTTTTCTGATATATTAACTAAATTCAAAACCAATATAAAAACAGTTAACACATATATTTTATTTAACTGAGTAAATTGATCGGAATGTGAATGATACATAAACCTAAAATTCGTTTTGGTCTATCCCAGTGATGACATTTGCGCGGGAATTTAGTCCATTGACATCGTAATATAATTTACTTTGGATTATAATTATCTTTAGATGTAATGTTACAGGATTTAATGTGAAATCATTTGTCTCTTCTTTTATAGTACACGAGTTTGACGTCAGGTTTGTACACATGAAGTCTCTAGTCTAAAAAAAGCCAGTGACAGAACGATAAACAGATATTGAGATAAGCAACTGTCTAGGGCCAAGTAAGGGAGGTGAAAAAGCCAGTATTACGCAGAACGATAAACAGTAACATAGACGGATCCAGGGGTGTGGAAAATTTGGTTGATTTTATAGGGAAGCAGGGGCGGATCCAGCCATTTTATAAAAGTGGGGTTCCCAACTCAGGACAATGGGTGTGGGAGTTGTGTTCCAACTATGTGTCCCCATTCAAATCCATTGATCGTCCAAAAAAAGGGGGGTTCCAACCCTCGGAACCCTCCCCCGGATCCGCCACTGGGGAAGCATGACGGGAGTGGGCAACCCTTAGGTCAGTCAGCGGCCCCCCACCCTTTTATGAGATTTATATGATCAGGTTTTCTTTGTGTAGATACTTTAAAATATCACCAACTGTGACTGAGTACACAATTTGGTTCATTTTAGCTCATTAGCTGGGCTCACTCACTAAAAAGGTTCATTGCGGGCCTGCTCACTGGCTAACATTTTACGATATTCGTGTAGAAAAGCCGATAATCTATACATGTGTGTGAGGAGTAATTATCAAGCTTCCTTTCGTCTGTAAAAACTGTCCCAGGCCAAGTTAGGGAGGTGAAAAAGCCAGTAATAGAACGATAAACAGATGATCAGGTTTTCTTCATATAGATCCCTTAAAATATCCCCCACTGAGGACACAATTTGATTCATTTTAGCTCATTACCTGCGCTCACTCTCCATAATAGGTTCATTGCGGCTTACTGGCTAATATGTGTAGAAAAGCTGATAACCTATACATACATGTACATGTATATGGTCAGATCATATGTTTTCGTACGTCATATGAATTTGTACTATGCATGCCTTTTCAATGGAAATTGTGACGACAGTATGCATTCTTAATAGCACGAAAAATGATGAGAAGAGGATACATATGTCAACCAAAATTTTTCAGCAACGTCAAAATATGTGAGGACACCCTATCAAGATCTATCAAGCTTGTGTTCATGTTGCGTTAAAACTGTTTTAGGAAGGTGAAAAATACCAACAACATAACAATAAATAGATAATCGATATTGTAAAATATCAATGTGTTGAAAAGCCTATGATCTACATATATACTTAAATATGTCAACCATAAAATAAAACTGATTTAATTTACACCACAGCTGTTGAAAAAACCTTTATGTTTATATAACCTATCTCATTCTAGTCCATTCAACTACATTTCATGAACTCTTTAATAACAAGAATCATCATGGACTATTCTTTATAGCAATATCTGTTAGCCATTTAGGGGTCTTTTGCATTCGAAGTTTAGTTTTAGTGGGTTTATTTTGCAAAAAAGAACTCAATTTCCAGATCAAAGTTAACATTTTCTATATATTTTGCTGTGTCAAAATGACCTAATAAATATAAAGAACAGTACCCATATAGACCCAAAAATGGTATATCACATTCTACACATGACATTTTAGCAGGAAAGACTGCCGTTGGAGTATATAACTTTTAACCTGTGTATATATAATTAAAATACGATAATAAAATTCATGTCTTTTTCAGGACCTCTGATCCAACCATGTAGTATGGCATGTTTGTGAGATATGGTTTTGGTGGATAGGATGTTCATGAAGGACCTGTAGTACAAAGTATATCACTGGATTGAGCTCTTTGTCTAAGTGTATTATTAAAGTGCTTTGCTTTGAGCTCAGTTCATTGTTATGCAATTCATTCTTTGTGAAATAAAGATTTGACAGACAACTCTCATGTACAAGGATTTGTCAGGGTAGTATCCATTCTACATGTTCTATGTACAATGTAAGTAATAAGGAGATAAAAGCATTTTATTATAATTTGAACCAAACATTTTTTGTCCAATAACCAAATTTTAAAAAAAGAACAAATTTACCCGACAATGCTACACTCGCTACTAGCAATATGATGCTAGGTTGTTTTAATACATCTGTACTGCCTACTGATGACTCTGTCCTGAGTGTAAATGGTCATTCAGTATGTTAAAAAAAAGGTCAAAATTTATAAGGCCTATCTGGCCTAATTGATTTCTAAAATTATATTTCATTGTACATGTTCAACATTTTTCATTCATTTGTTTATTTCTTAATTTGTGTGAATTAACATTGTTACAGTAAATGTTAATTACTACACTTTCATACCACAACAAATACTGTATTGGTATCATTTATATTTGTATCCATATAACAAAAAAAATTGAAAAGAGAATAATTTTGCAATACCTTTTTCATATTGAATACAATAACTTTTTTGATATTTAGACATATTAAGTAGATTTTCATAATACCCACTTGACATGCTTGAAATTCTATCAGATTACTTTTGGAGCAGGTATGAGTCTTTGAAGCATGCTCACAAAGGCTTTTTTGTTGATATCATTTTCATATTGGTCAAAAGTTTTTTTTGCTTCGGCCAGCTTTGGAGGAGATGTTATCAAAGAATTGATAAAAACAACACAGAAGTTTACTTTCTAGCTCTTCTAGCCCCAAGCATCATGTCAGGCATTGTCATTACTAAAAACCAATAAATGTCTTCTAATCTGAGAAACAATTTCGACATTTTAACAAAATATTTTACTAATGATACTTACAATCCACCACAAAGTAATATAAATAGAACCATACAAATAGTGAGCAAATACATATAAAACAGATGTGGTATGATTGCCAATGAGACAATTCTCCACAACAGACCAAAATGACACAGAAATTAACAACTACGGGTCACCGTACAGCCTTCAACAATGAGCAAAGCCCATAACACATAGTCATTTATGTTATTTATGTACACAAAATAAAAGAAAAACAAATATTATGTAACACATAGACAAACGACAACCACTGAATTACAGCCTCCTGATATCATGTTCTCAGATATCATCTCCCATTTAAAAAAAAATCACATGAAAAAATGAACCTATTATGTGTTGCTCTCCTAGCTACAATATGTATCCAAAATCAAAGATGTGGAAAATATTCTATCATAATCATTTGGTAATTAATGCAATTAGTGTCTCTTCCATGCCCGTCTTGAACATAAAATCTAAATATTAATTAAACAACACTCCTCATGCTCAGGTTGGTTGTCATCGTGCCATACAGTTAATAACAACATGTAGGAAAAACATAAACATAGAACTCCTTTTGTCATATAAAACACTGTCAAACATCCAAACATACTATCCACATTCATCTGTGTCCACACTTGTACGAATAGAAAAAAACTGGTCGGGCCTGTGTTATACCTACTGCATCTGCTTTACTTATAGCCTGTACATAATAGGTTGTGCTTTGGCATCGCCACTTTACTTATAGCCTGTACATAATAGGTTGTGCTTTGGCATCGCCACTTTACTTATAGCCTGTACATAATAGGTTGTGCTTTGGCATCGCCACTTTTCTTATAGCCTGTACATAATAGGTTGTGCTTTGACATTACCACTTTTCGTATAGCCTGTACATAATAGGTTGTGCTTTGGCATCGCCACTTTTCAAATGGTGTGTAAGGTATATCATATTTTGTGTACAGTATGTCACTTATAACACGTGACAAAATTTTACTACACATTACATTAATTTGAAATGACTAAGAGACAATCGATCTAAAAAGAAATTTAACAATTAAGGCTTTCACTAATGGTATGACTGAAAATACAACAATTATGTTATGTTAAAAGATCAACTTACGATTTTGGGTCCATCATGGATTCAAGTTATGAGTGAACTTTTATCCTAATGTAAACAAGGTCATAACCCAATATGTCTCAAGTGTACAAATATAGTTATCTGTATGCAACGGCTAAAAATACAACAATGTGAATTGAGCGCAGTGACGTCATACTTAATAGGAGCAGGTTATAATGTAAGGGACAGCCATTTGATTTTCGTGGTTAAGTGTTGTGGGGGATTGGGTATGGGCGGTTTGGTTTTGTTTTATTTTTACGGGGGGTTGGGGGTTTGGGTTTGGGTTTTGGTTGGGTTGGGTTGGGGGAGTTGACAATGAATATACTGGCTAGTAAACATAGTAATATATAAAATTTGCAGAATAATTTTGTAATTTTGAAATAAAATTTTTTTTTTTTTTTAAAGTTCATACCTTAGTTACTCAGTTAGCCATTGCTTTTTTTATTACCATTTAAGGAAATATTTATTTTTTTTCTTTTTAACTTAAATTATAGCTGGCTACGCCTTGGGCTTTAAATATTCAAAAAACATGACCAAGTATTATCAAACCTATACATAAAAGATGACCCATACACACAATCCAATTCTTGATCATTGATTAAAAGTATTAATAAACAATATAAAACATGTCAGTTTTATTGTAATGGAGACAGGTTTTGTTTGTCACGGTTGCCTATAATTGCTTACAACCACTTCATTTGAACTTTGGTGGATAGTTTTCTCATTTGCAATCGTACCAAATCTCCTTATTTTCATATGATATCTTATTGTTATGCGCAATGAAACTTTGACTTCTATATTTGACTTCTTATTGCGAACTTTTTATATTTATTTTGATATTTATTGTTTATGTGTATAACTTTGTCAATAAGTCTGTTTATTAGCAAAGGATGATTGAAAAGCCAATTAAGTATCTTGTTCGCTTCATAAATATCATTTTTTACATTAAAAAATGCGATGTGAGTAATATGGCAATGAGACAGCAAACTAACGACAAATAATGCAAAAAACATCTAGATGTCAGCAAACATTATTTAACAACTGACAGGTGTCTAATAAATTGTAAAGGAACAATAAAATCTGCTTTTTTTCATCCCTTTCTTTAAGTAACGTTAATCAGTATACAAGATGGGTGATACAACCACTTATTTCAAGGATTCTGACCTAGGACTATTAACACATGAAAATGTTGTTGGGTTCATATATGTTTTGTTTTTTTTAACTTTACCCCACCCATTTTATAAATCTTGATCGGAAGATTGACAACAACGATGAACAATAAATTTGCATTATTGATAAAATTGTTGTGGTGTAAAATCCAAACAGTGATACCTGGTCTAAATTAGTACACCAGACGTGTCTTTCGTCAACAAAATCTTAAATTTTCCCAATGGCACTCGAATCAAATCATTTTGAAGGCCAACTCAAATACGATATATGCAGGGTATATGTAAAAAAAGGTAAAATTGAGAATGGAAATGGGGAATGTGTCAAAAAGACAACAACCCGAACAAACAGCAGAAAACAGCCCAAGGCCACCAATGGGTCTTCAACACAGCAAGAAAATCCCGCACCCGGAGGCGGGCATCAGCTCACCCCTAAATGTGTACTAGTTCAGTGAAAATGGACGTCACACTAAACTCCGAAACATATAAATAAGATAAAATTAAAAAAAATATATATACAAGATTAACAAAGGTTTATCCTTTAACTAAAACACACTCCACAAAGACGGTGTCTCTCTCTTGGAATTCCTGCTCTCCACAAATCAAAAAGCTATGTAATAGCCAATAGTGCTAAAATAAGCGTTAAACACAAAAAACAATATAATGGACTGATGTATTATACTACCAGTCCATACATAACGAGAATACTTTGTGACGATAGAAATAGGAATCTAGCTCAATACTAGACCGACACATTAAGCCGGATTTCCTGTGCGAGTTCACAGGTTAACAATCCACAAAAACATACGTCATCCAGCCCGGAAGTGTTAATCTGACTCTGATTAGTCTGCTTCTACCTCAAAATGCTGAGTATTTAGCGACAAAGCCGTAAAAACCATTGTTAATATAAAAAGAAGATGTTGTATGATTGACAACTCTCCACAAGAGACCATGTTATGTTGACACAAACATGATCAAACCTACGTCCTCTCACAATCAAAACAAGAAAACTACATCAAATACAAGAGGTATTGTATGTGTATCATTTATTTCAAGTAAGATAACATATATATAATAGAGAGAGAGAGAGAGAGAGAGAGAGAGAGAGAGAGAGAGTATTGTTCTCAATTAAATAGACATTTAACATAACAGACAAAAACTGTAATATTTTCTAGAAGAGCCAATGTAAGAAAATGATGACAGCGGACTCTCTTAAAGGTTGTATATATATATATTAAGTTTTAGAAACCATTGAAAAATTATTTAATTACACAATATAATTTTTACGAATTTTGACAGTACCTTTTCTAATCCCCACAGACTTGTAATCTCTTGTTATTATCACTGTTGCACCCTGCTTATGAATATCTAAGTTTTTTAAACTCGTTTTTATCGGCTATTTCTGATATCTAGTGATCATATAGAACTCTTAAAAAATCAGCACGTCGTTTGATTGTTTTAATCGGACGCTGCAATAAATATTCTAACGAAAGATAATCGAATAATAAAGTAGTGGTTTGTAGACCGTTGTTTGTCGTTTCGTCGTTGTTTGTTTTTTCCATGGTGTTGTCCATGTCTCTTCAAATTACGATATATGATTGCCTCTTTGGTATTATCCGTCTTTTGTTGGTATTACAAACGCTATGATATTGTCTATATGTCAGTCGAAAAGATTTTGAGGTTTTAACAAAAGCTGAAATAGAGCCTTGACATGGGAGCCTTGACATGGGTGTTTAAAAAATCTTTGTTTCGCAAAGCCCTTTATAACTGGCAAACTCTTCTTAGAAGTATGAAGGATGGGTCAGAATACTTTAAAATTTTTTGTTGCACGTGGAACCATTTCCTATTTAGGACATTGGTTTACGTTTTATTTTTTATAGATAAGAGTAACTTGAGGTATGAGTCTATGAGACTGTAGCGCAAGGATACATGAAATCTCATATAGATACCTCTACACTCGGTAAAAAATAACAATTAACACACAATTTTAAATTTCTGTAGGTCGCCACAAAATTTGTAAAAGTGAACAGAGACTGTCCTAGACAAAATCAACAATTTCTAAAGGATATGTAAAATTTAAATATTAGTGGAGTCGATCACTGACAGAGTCGCCAGCTTGGGGCATTAAACCACTTTAAGAACTCAATCTCACACCCCCCCCCCCCCCAAAAAAAAAACACACACACACAAGTTTAGCAACAAAATTAGGTACATTTCAGTACAATAAGCTTAAATCTATCTATATCTATATATATATATATAAAACATTGAACACTACAATACCGGTACATTAAACGACAAATAATATATAAAACAATTTATATCATACCGTATTTAAGAATGCATAGTGTTGCATAATACACGTTTAAAGTGCATTAATTAATTATGATAGTATAGAAATCCCACCGTACTATATTCCTGTATCGGTGGCTATATTGTGGATATGACCAAAAGAAGGTTTGGGTCATATGTCAACTCAAATGCAATCCAACGATGCAAAACCCAAAAGATACCAAGACGTCAACATACGGTCTAAATCAATTGACAACTGTCTATGCAATATCTCGTGTTCAACAATTGTTCAAAATGGAGTCTAAAACAGTTTAAACTGATTTAACAGTCCATATCAACCATATCTACCATGAACACCACATTCTCATGATGACAAAACATAAAGATATTATAATGAAAGAAACAAGGTTCAGTCTAAGGAAAGTGCGAATTGAAAAAAAAAAAAACGTTTCTTATGTGTAGTAGCGATATTTCCTACTATGAAATTGTAAATATGCAGACACTTCATGAGAAAAAAAAGATGTTTTCGGCAATGAAAAATATGTTTGATATAAACAAACATCAATAGATTAGTTCCGGGATTACTTCAAACGCGACAAACAGGTGAGATTTATGCATAACTATAAAATCAATAGAATCTGAATTCGATCATTACCTACATTTCAATGTCGTTTTTAAGGAATATAATCAAGTGCAACCGTAAAATGTTTAGATTAGTATAGGGGGACGGGGGGTTGAGATTTCACAAAACATGTTTAACCCCGCCGCATTTTTGTGCCTGTCCCAAGTCAGGAGCCTCTGGCCTTTGTTAGACTTGTATGTTTTTTTAATTTTAGTTCATTTATATGTTTTGGAGTTTAGTGTGACGTCCATTTTTATTGAACTAGTACACATTTTGTTTTAGGGGCCAGCTAAAGCCCGCCTCGGGTTGTTGTCTCTTTGGCACACTCCCCATTTCCATTCTCAATGTTATTGTGTTTTTGATAAATTAGATATAACTAAATATGGGTTTTCTTACATTTATAAAAAGCTATGGTCCTTCATCCTGTCAAATTAATGCACTTATGTTATGACATTTACTGTTTATGACGTCATTACACTAAATCAATTGAATGTGTACTTATTAAAACGTTAGTCTGGGAGAACACGATTTATTTAGTAGTTGTTATTGTCTTTTTAATAACTTTGAGTAGCTGCGAGTACTCTTAGATCGGTACTGTGTGTCTTTTTCTACTTGATATGTATTTGTGCTTCGTGCCGATCTCATTTGCCAAGCCATTTCTTTTTTTACGGGTAGTTCTTATGTTTTGCTGGTACACCGTGTCCCTGGTAAGAGGAACGTAGAGCGCTCTCAAACATGTTAAACCTACCATATTTTGTATGTACCAAGTCGGGAGCCTGTTATGAAGTGGTTGTCGTCAGCTGGTGTATGTTATATCTGTTTTTCGTTTTGTTTTGTCATTAATCAGATCGTTGTTTTTCTTATTTGAAACGTTTCACTTTTTGTCATGTTCTTTCATAGCGGTCTGTATGGGTTTTGCTCACTTTTCACGGCCGTTCGTTGACTTATAATTGCTTAAATTCGTGTCATAATGGAATCTGTTTGATAGTTGTTTCATTGGCAACCATACCCCATCTCCTCATTTTATACAATGTACGAAATGTCAGTGTCAGCGATGATAATTTAGC